TGGTTTGTGGATCGAATTATAAATTAGACAATGGTAAAAGGGTAAATCAGGTACGTACATAAGTACAAAAAAATTCACAACATAATAATTAGTCAAGAACCAATGCTATGTTATTTACAGGTCATTTTGTTTGTTTATTTTGGCTAATTTGACATTTATACGTTTTATCGAAATGAAATTTTATTAGTTCAATTAAATGGATTAAATGGAAAAATAACTCAGAACCCTGATTTACAATATAAATAATTACCTAAATTCATATATAATTCATATATATAATTCATATATAATTTATATATATAATTCATATATAATTCATACATATAATTTATATATAATTTATATATATAATTCATATATATAATTCATATACGAGTCATATATGATTGGTTCTCATTATTTGCATATCACTTCAAAAATGCATATAAAAAAGTAATATTTTATCTCTTACATTTCACCCTCTTCCAAGATGGCAAGAGTAAGACGCAACAGAAGAAATCATCAAAGAAATATGGCAAACTTGGCTCCAAACATGATTGCTACACCCAACTTTGCAATTGCTACACCCAACTTTGCAATCCCAAACTTAAGTACTATCAGGCTACACGCGGATCTCTCAAATGGCGTGTCAAATTTATTTGAGCCAGAAACAGCTACAAATCAATCGAATAATCCACAAGAACAATTGGGCCTTGTCAAAGATTTCTTGTCCGGTATTGAGCTCTCGTTTACCAACTAAAATGAAGAGCACAAACAATTCCGATCTTAAAATGTAACTCTCTGATCGTTTCAAAAAAGAACTCTTATCACGATATATTTTTTAAAATCGCATCATATTACGTATTAGCGTCTTTGTCATATTATTTATCGCCTTTGTTACGTATTATTATCCTTCCTTATTAGACTTAGTAATCGTTTACTGTGTTATTACTTTATATATTGCTTCGTTTCCCTTTCGTTTTCGTTACGTTTTCGACCGTTATTTATAGTAATTTTTTTATTGTATATGATATTTATATCAATTATGTATAAGATCGTATAAGATTTATATCTATTATTTTATATTTATTGACGTTTAATAAAAATGATTAATTAAACAAGGTCATATTTGTTAACTTACGTTTCTAATCTGTTTTATGAATATCTATGTTAGCAAAAACTTTTAACGTACATATGTACATACGTATGTACGTATACAATATCGATATATACCATATATATGCTATATATGCTATATATGCTATATATGCTATATATGCTATATATGCTATATATGCTATATATGCTATGCATATATGCTCTGTACTTCCGATTTCAGATCTTTTCTAAAAATTTGAAAACGAATATGTACACATGCACAAACGAAATAATAAACATTAGTGCACTTTGTTAAGTCGATCAATCGAACAAGCATGTTAGTATAAAAAAAAAAAAAAACAAATAATAAAAACAATGTCGTAAGGTATTTACTTCGTATGCAATATGAAATAATTTGTTGCTTTCTAGCTTTATTTTTTTTTTCTATAAATGTAAACTTTCTACACTAGGATTAATCAACGTCAAGGTTTATTATTTTTTTTTTAAGATGCTCTATACCCGATTATTTTATAATAATTATGCTTTGCTTGCTCCTACTTGTTCAAAGAACTTTACTACTCCAAGTATTATCCCGAAGTGACAGCGTTAATCAGAAGAAGAGTTCACTTTCTGTAGAGAAAATATAGCCGCAAATTAATAAGACTTTTAGAAAAAAACATAAATACTAATGTGCTAGCAATATCATTTATCACTATAAGTTTGTATCTAATTAAAATGGCAACATTTATCGCTATAAATTTGTATCTAAGTAAAATGGCAACAGTATGTTGTCAATTTGTTCTAAATGCAATATTCATAGTTTCGTGATGGGGTTTGAATGCAAGCTATTATTTTGTTTGTTTATAACGATAAACAATTACTCTCTAAAGCATAACAATGAGCCAATTAAGAAACACTAATCGTAAAGCATATTACCATTGTAATTACCATTGTAATTAGAAACGTATAATTACGTACGTACAGTACGTATGTACCGTTTATTCGCTTACTTCTCATCAGTGTTGGAAATCTTATGTTCTCATATCTATGATTTTGAACACGAGTTTTGATTATATGTTACAGTTGGCTTTTCAGATATCTGCAGATAAATCTGCGGACCCTATTGATTGTCAGGTTTATGATTGTCAGGTTCATCCCTGCTCTAGAACTTTTTTTTTCCTTGCAGAATTACTTTAGTATTAATTTCGAGGTTACATTATTTTTTGTCTTTTTTTAGCATAGATTATATCATACGTAGCTCTGTTTTAAATATGTAAATTATGCATGTATATACAATATAAACATATGTACTGTATATACTGTATATACGTATGTATGTACTGTACGTACGTACGTACGTATGTATAACATATGCACGAAATAAAACTCTACTGCAAATCTCTGGTTTGCCAAAATTAAAATTAATATTCATCTCGTTTATCATACAGTAACTACTTTGTATTAAATTACTTGCTCGCGTGAAGCTCGAAACTTTATTTAAAAAAAAAATAATGTCCCTATTCATTCTTTTGTATTTTAACAATTAGAATCTACTTTTGTACCACTTTTAACGGGGGAACATTTGATTCATTTGAGTGGTGCAAGTTTTAGAATATAATTACACAAGATTTAAGCGATTTAATTATAGACTTCATTAAGGCTTCATTAAATGTCTGTTCAACAAATATAAATCGTGTAACAAATTTTTTCAGCAGCCTTTCTTGAAATTATATCTTTCTTTTCTTGTTGGATTTTTTTAGTAGTGTTTCTAAATTTAAATAATGGTTGTATAACACAATTTCTACTGGGCATTAACTGAAGACAAAATTACTTGCTTGATTTCTGCTTACTATTTAATATTAATTTTACACCTGTACATGTTTTACATCACCTGTACACAACAAATACGCTATGCCATATTTGTAGATTTATATGATCCCACGTGTGATCACTATTAATAA